TTTTGATATTGCCTGTAAATTGGCATGTCTCTTATAACATGTTTGTTATTTGAGAATAAATTATTATTATTATTATTATAACTAAACTGCCAAAATGGAATGTGTCGCCTAGGAGTGCTAAAGATCTAGCCGGTTGTAATTAATCAATAATATTGATGTTACCAATCCATGCGAACTGTCACTTTAATTAATGTTTGTACCGTAAGGTGGCTTCAATTCTAACCAAAAAATCCTATTACAAGCACATCTGGTTAATTATATTGAAAAAGAGGATACTTGTGGCTTCTTGAGTGACGGGGCTAAAAAGAAAAACAATGAATGATATGTCACCGAGGCATCATTATCGTATTCTGTAAATCAACATACTTTTTAATAAATCAGTCTTTTGAATCTCCTCTCTTCGTAAGATTATTTGCCTATTCGTTATCTTACTAGTGATTTATCTTCATTAACCAACATAAATGCGTGTGTGCAGTTACTGTTCTAATACGGAAAATCAAAGGTATGTCTGATCAGACATTTGTTTTATCTAAAGAGGTATCTGTCCATTCATGACTCAGCTTTAAACACTAACATTTTCTGTCCCGTTTGTCGTTCCTTTCTCATTGCTAACCTGGATTTAACTTGCACGGATTACCTACCACCAGTCATTCGATGCATGTCAAACGAACATAGCACGTGCCCGGTATAGCATTGTAGACTCCAGAGTCTAAAACATTATTTAAAATCTTGTGTAAAAAATATTGGCCTACTATAAAACCAGGGTATCTTGTGAAACATTTATCGAGCCCAATAACTCTAGAGTATTTTGATTCTGCCTGTAACTTGCCACGTGTCAAGTAAGACGTTGTTACTTGAGAACAAAGTATTATTTATTATCTTTAGCTTTCAATGAATTGGTTGGTTGCTTGTGTTCTGTACGAACTATAAATGCCCTGCCTTCCAACAGGTGTCAGAAGGGTTTGGCTGCCAGGTATAATGCGAGAATTTCTGTCTTGGAATAATGGTGTCTCATATCTGCGAAAGAGTCATTTCGAGAACAACTTAGCTGGTTGCAGTTCCTTTCTGACCATTAAGTTAAAGAAGCCGAGTTCTTCTTTGTCTGAAGTATCGGTCGGAGTCTGGGATCGGATTTCATTTACTTCAGCATAGATGCTTGGGCTAGCTCATGCTTTAGATTTTTAGTGGATTTTATAGTCCTGGAGCTAAACTTGAAATTTCTTGATTTTCCCTCGGGGTTATCTGACCATAGCTGCCTCAGTTATGCATCCCATTTTTGATCTGTTTCTTAATCCTTCGCCACCTATGATTTATCTGATTAGTTGATAGACTTGGTCAATGTCGATGTGTTTGCTGATTGCTGACTGACATGAGTGCCAGGCTACTAAAAATTATCTAGTGTTCTGTAAAATGATAAAAAAGTTTTGATTTTAGGTATAACGGTTCACCGAGTTTAGATACGCGTCTTGCCCAGATAAATTGCAAAAGGCAGTTGATCTGAGTAAGTAACGGTTCGATTATTAATCATAAATACGAATATAAATTATTACAAAACAATGTTACACCTTTACTCCTTCCGTAATAACACAAAGTGTTTTCAATTCTGGAAAGGGCTCCAAATTTTAATCCAAATTGGACCCTTCCAGTCCAGATGTACTTACTGTCCGCCAAGGGATCAAATCCGATATGGCTGTCGCCATAATCAAGTATCACCTTAAACAACGTAACACAGTTCAGAAAAAATATAGAAACTCAAGAAAGGTACAAAAATTGAAACTATAACAAAACGCAAATCTTAGCATCCCAAAATAGGACTAAAAAGACCGCCAAAATGTTGAACAGAAAGAGTCAACAAGAACATATTAGAAGTGTATATATGAAGCGATTTTCCCAGACAAGGACTTCAAAAAGGAATTTACATGTTCCTTGTCCTCCTATTATCCAGTATTTGCTCATTGTTGCAATCGAACGCGTGTCCGTAGTTGTTCGTGTGCATTAATATAAACAAAGAAATATCGTGGCGTGTGACTGCTAACTGGCGTTCACGTAAAGGAAGCTAAAGAGGACTTCCACTTTGTCCAGTACAGTGTTTTCACAAAGTGAGCAATTTATTTCATAGATGATGGTTTTATGTCTTTGTCATTTTGTGCTTTGTTCTAAATAGAACTCAAACTCCCTGTAGCATTGTGAGTTCCTTCTTGGTTGAGTATTAACAGTTTGATAAATTTTTATTTCCCCGATTCATTAGCATCCAAACACCTTGCCTGCTGAACAACATATCGCTTTTCTCATTATTTTTTAACATTATTTCAACTCTCTTTTCTCTTTCTTCATTTTCCAGCTCACTGTCCTTCTTATCTCCAAACTACCTATTAACTGATGCGTATCTTACAATTTATACCATTAGTTTACTTAAACTCAGTCTGGCATGCTACGTGGATATCTTGTCTTTCATGCAGAAGGCAAAGTTGTCTTGATTGCTTGTAACGTGGAGCTAGTAGAGCAAGTTTATTCCGACAGGGTGTACAAAAAACAGAGAGTAGACTGGAAAAAATTGTTTACAATCAACCATTAAACGTAAGAGAGCCTAACATCACAAAAGGAGGGAGGATGGTGCATCTGACCAGCATTCATGACGGTGGGGCGATAACCTCAATCTACCCATGTCTGTGTTGCAGAACATTTTGTTTGCTTACGGCTCCTTACTATATAGCAGGATGTAACAAATCAGTGATATTGATGTTACTTTTCCTTGTTAACCTCGTAACCTGGACAGTTATACAGAAAAATATTTGATTCATAACTTCTTGAGCCACAGAGTTAAAAAGAAAAACAATAAATAAAAGTAAGATAAAAGCATAAGATCACTGAGCCTCATTATTATATTCTGCAAATAAGCATTGTTACTAACAATTCGCGTATGCTGTATTTCCTTTATTCATAAGATTAAATGTCCATTCGTTATCTTACTACTGAACTGTCTTCATTAACCTACATAAATGCAAGTATACGGTTAGTGTTCTAATTTAAAAACATCTGAGTAAACATAACTTAGTTTTATCCAGAAACGTATATGCTGAGTCATTGTTCGTCTCTGAACAAGAATATTTAATACTCTACTCCTCGCCCTATTCTCTTTACTTCTCTTTTTTCAGCATCTTATCCCACTACTTATGTATTAGTCTGGATATTTGCCGAAGACTTGGTTACCTTACTCAAAGGCCCGTAAATTTATTAAACAGTTCTTGGCGCATTTACCTCATCAAATCTTGTTATATGCAGACCTGGCTCTACCTTGCATTGTTTCAAAGTCATTAAGAGGCCTGTCGTAACGGCACCTTTTTAACTCGTTGTAGAGTCTGTAAAATTATCTTTAATTGTATGTGAAATATTTTAGCCATCTAAATGGAGCCAATGTATCTTATGAAATATTCCAGTGACTGTACACCTTTTTGAAAGAAATATATTGCCCAACTTAACATTTTCATCTTGCGTGTGAATTGGGGAGCCTCTTTTAAAATTTCGTTATTTGAGAGAAAATCATTATTATTATCATTGTTATTATTAAGTAATACCGTTGTTTTGTGTACTACGCTTATTCGAATAGGACAAAACAGAGGCAAATTCAATGGTCTAATCTTAAGATGGCGTGTAAATGCATCCATAGTGAAAACATACTATGCTGCTAAACTGATTTTAATTGAAAAGACTAAGCTCATGATTTCGCATAAGCCCAGACATAACCTAAATGATTACGTCACATCACATTCCATTTACCAATTCACATGTTTGTTTGATCAAATATGTAGGGAGGAGTAATCAGAGTTAGAAATCAAAGGTTATGGAACATGTTCCAAAGTGGTTTCAAAATCAGTCAACTTGAAATGACCCGATAATTTTGGGAAACAGAAAACAATGTTCATTTACGGCAAAGGGCATAATTGAGACAGGACAAAAGATTAACATCAAGACAGCCCTCAAAATGTTATATAAAAAAGTTGAGGGACGAATTTTGATGTTTATAGAAGCCTCGGCTATTCATAAATTAGAACCATCCTAGTATGTACAGAAACATTTTGTCATAACCTTGAATTTACCCTGGTAATATTTAGGCCTAGGGCAATATGAAAATTTCCTACCCTTTCTTATTCTTTTCATATTTCGTTAGCTTTCTCTCTCCTTTAATTACAAGTATTACATTATATCTCTTTGAATTTTAATTTAATTTCCCTTTTATTATTCTTCATATAAAATGCCTTGAGAAGTATATTTGTGACCAGATTTTTCGAAATATATTGAGCAAATACATCACATTTTTCGGATCAAATATGTATTTTCACTGCTCTATCGAAATGTACAATAGGGACTAATGGTTTTAAATGATGTCTTAAGTTAATGGAATTGAGGAAAACAAACGAAATCAATAGCTGTTCCAATTGCGGACAAAATTATTTGTTCGAAAAATTTATTTATCACTATTTGTCAAAAACGAGATATCTTGTTCGTAAGTAATATGTTTATGAATCAGTTGCAAAAGTTTGTTGAGTCAAGACTATCTGCCGTGGGAGATTACAGCTATTTACTGCCTTTCTTTACTTGAGGCTAACGCAATCTTTAAAACGAGAAAAGCAGTCCGGCATCTGGATAGGTGCGGGTTCGCTCGTCAGTCGGATAGATTCATGAGAATAAACTTAGATTCTGAAGCAGCATGTCTTATGTGGCGAAAATTCTCTAATGAGTAGATAACATATTTCCATTACTTATCAAGACTGTAGTTAAAACAACCTCAGCATTTACAGTTAAATGGAATACAACGTTTATAAATAGTGTCGACAATATATTCAGAGCCCAATCTTTGTCAAACTTCGTGCAAATATTAATGAATATTCCTATATTCAGGCCATATATATTTGGAGGTAGTAAAACCTGTCGGCTTTGCGTGATAATTAAAATATCTGATACTACCTTAGGAGTTGATGGAATTAAACTAGATGGAACAGAAACTATCGAAATGTGAAATAATCATACTCAGCATTGGAAGTTAGCAGATAATAACGTCGACCTTCAAAAACCTTAAGAAAGCTGAGGTTTTTTTCTACAAACTGTGAATTGTGTACTAGCATCAAGGCGCTAACTCAAAAACTCATCTGGTTTATATTACCTTGTTCTAAAGATTGGATATTGGATTAGCCCGCTGTATTCATTCCGTACGGTACATAATGCCTTCAACAATCGCTATCTCTCCACCAGATACTGAAGGAGATGGACGTTGGATGAGCCAAGTATTAGTGTAGCCCTTATTCACACGTTTATTAGCATACGAGATTTGTTTGTCAGGCTAGAAAAAAGGAACCAGATGTTGTATTACTTGGTGATTCCATATTCGTTTATATGCAGTTTACACAGGCAGGTTTTACTTTTGCATTATTTCATTTTCGTAGACGTACAAAAAACACATAGAACCATTACACTGTGTAAATTTTAGTATTGCATGTGACCAGACACAAAATGTCTTATGGAGAATAGAAAATGGAGAGCTTGATGGCTTCTCACCCAAGGTAGGGGTTTGATAGATGAGTAATGACTACTTTAAGGTGGTCGTTATTATGATTGGCAGTTACAACGTTGGTGATTCTGAAGAAGAGGTTGTTGAAGGGATTCTGTCTGTCACCGAAAAGACAAAATCTAAACAACCTCGCGCTTCTTTAATAGTTATGGTTAGTAGTCTGTAGTTCACGGTTTCATTTTGCTCATAGAAAACTTTGATTTAGCTTTTACAATTTTTTCCGTCAGATTACACTGATGGCTACCAGCATTTTAATACACCGTAGAACATAACGCTCTATTTTCCATAATAGTAGAAGTAGCGGTATTCCTGTTCATTGTTTTTTACCATGTTTTTTTTAAACTGTGAACTGGAATGTATTAAATGATATATACTTCACTTAGTGGCTTCATTTAGTTTAGTTTTATTCACTTAATCTACAACACGACTCAAAGCTGTGTCAATATAATTCTTGGGTACGTAGAGAGCGACCATTTTTATTAGCTAAATAAATGTATAAAAGCGGTCATTACTGAGGTGTTTTATTTGCTTAATATTCTCAGTCAATCAGATAATGAGTTTGGGCAGTAAAGTACGGGCAATTTATGCTGGTACGTAAGTGACCATTTCCATAACTTTCAACAACTATGATTTTCCAATGTTATGTATGATTAGTTGCTTATGTTCACCATGCACATCGTTTAGACAACACGATAGCTTCATAGTGTTTTTAAGAATAAGCAGATATGTTCAAACCACCGTTACTTGAACACAACAAATTTATGATGTTCAAGGGGCTTCATACCAAACACTATCTCCTACCACTGTTTACCATATCAAAACCTAAAAAATAAATGACTTAGTGTCAAGACCCAAGTCCACATATATTATCCAACAAGCGAAAATATCCTTTAAGTTAATTCTGAATAAAAAAAATGACAAATGAACATTTCCAACGAATCGCAACGAATCGAAATATATCCTTGACACGGTTTTTTAAATGACCTCATAGTATGGAGACTAGTTTCTTCTATCGAGTGGCATTGATTTAATTATCCTTTTTATGCTGTTATCTTCAGTATCGCTATCTTGTCTTCCACTCAGTAATCTAAGCACATTACGAAATTCCATTTATTTCTTTTGAAGGGTCTTTTGCCGTGTGGTCGAACTCCTAACAAAAGACGCATGAAGCATGAACGGATTAATAAACTCCTCACTGAAGCTTTCTCTGGTCGACCTGATGTCACATATTTGAATCCTGACTGGGATAATTTCGTCCAACAAGATGGGACTATATCACATCGTGATATGTTCGACTATATGCATCCAACCGAAAATGGTTATGAAAAACTGTGCGAACCTTTATTAGAAGAGCTGCAAAATTCTCTACATACATTTTTAAAGACTAACGCTCCAAATAGTTTTGTTGAAGATTCATAATTCTTATGCTTTTTACATTTTAGTGTTCTGTACAATACTATTATTATTTCTGAGTCATTTCTCTGTTCACTTAATTTTGGATATAAATTATTGTGTTTTGTGGTTTTTTTATTTATAAACTAACTGGTGTATTGTTATTTTAATTCCTTCACTTGCTTTTGTTTTAGTTTACTCAGTTTAATGTTCGGTTCTAATTAAATCTTAATACAAGGTTTCCATAGTTTTATTTTCACTTGGTTTTGTTAATTGAATTTATTTTATCATTTTGGCAACCTTCCAATGTCATTTGATTCCTGCCACTTGCTACGAGCTTTATCCAGCTTATCGGTGACTCGTATGTTATTTATTTTGTATTTCAAACTTGCTTTTATACACTTTAGTGATCAAATGTTTGGCAAAAATTACAGTTAATTTGGAACCATCTATTTGTTTTCATATTTTGAACAGTTTATTCTTATTGATAAATCTGACCGAAGCGAGGGCAGTGGATGTAGCAGAAGAACCTGACTACGTCTTAGTTCACAGTTCTTTGTCAGCTGTTTACTACCTAAACATGATAGTATTTACAAAAATTGGTGTATATACTTTGTAATATCATAAGTGTTCTCATCGATGGAGAACGACGTAAAGGATAGTAAGTATAGAAGAACTTTAAACTATCTTTATATGTTAGATAATGTAAAGGTTTGTAGATGAAATGTACGTTCAGTGTAGGAAAAAATATCCAGGAATTAGAGACAATATTTTAGAGGTAAAATGTTAGTGTTGATGTAGTTCTCAAAGAAATAAAGTAAGACAAATTACAGATCAGATTAGAAGCGAACATTAATAATTGTCATCGTGATAAGGAAAATTGCTTAACAAACATTCGTAAATGAGGTCACCATATCGAGGCAAGATTGTAAGATGAATCTCTTTTGATGCATTAATTTAGTTTGTCTTCTCGTGGCAACTGTTTTAGCAAGAAGTAACAAATCGGACATTCTTGTTTTGTCAGCCACTATCAAGCAGGTAGTGGTGCAGTCGAACAACAGAAAGGTTGTTGTCGTTTTAGCCTAGGCTGCTGTAGAACTTGTTCGAGATTGTAGACACCAACCCAACTTGTTCCTCAAATGTCTGTTTGGCTGGTAGTTCGGTTTTATATGTAAATATGACGGCAATAATTGGTTCGTAATGAACCGGGTTAGAGCAGAGTCCTTATAGGAGTAGAACATATTTTTATTTATCGATGATGTGGTTGATTATTGGTTTGGCCGGTTTATTTGAAGTAAGGTTTGCATTTAAAATCATTTACAAGCGATTAATTATTCTGCTCAACCTTTTTTGGAGGGGATCAAATTTTTGAATATTCTCTCGCTATTTTACAGTCTATTTACTGCGAAATCTCAATATTTCTCCGGTTGAAATCGTAATTCTCGGCGTTCAGTAAGACTGAGAATGACAGATTCTCCTGTCCTATTCTTAGCTTCTCCTTTTAAAATCGCTTCTAAGATTCTTTGACTAAACTGTCCTACATTTGGAGTCTGCATTATTCTCTGCTGACTATGATAGTCTTGTCATTCTATGGAGTTCGACTTTCTAGTTTCCACAAAATATTATATACTGGTCCTATCAGTATCTCTTTTACTGAAATCCTGAATTGTTGTAATAGTTATTGAATATATGACTTGCTAATTTATGAGTAGCTAAATTTTTTATTTGTGACAACTATGTTTAAAATCTTCTCCATTTGTGTTCTCCGTCTTTATGCTAGACAGAAATTTTTTAGTTTATCTGAAAAAAAACCCAGCAGACTGTAACACCAAATTTGAAAGATCTGATGCTAAGTTCGAACAAGAAACTTACCATCTGATAACGCAATCAACTGTACAGGTTAGCAATCTCCTGTAAAAGTAATCACTTAATGTAAGAAACGATGTCACTCTTTGTAGTAGCTAATATTCATCGAAGATTGTTGACTGAGTTCCATATTTCTTGTTCATAATCAATGAACACGATCTCCATCCAGAGAAAATATATAACTTACATTACTTCTGTTTGATTGAAGCTACCGTGTAAAAACCACCTTAAATTGAAAGCTGCTTAAGAGTATTTGGGGTCTCATCTATGGATCTTAACTCAATTTATTTTATTTTGATCAAAAGCTTTCTTCTAAACCGAGTTTCATCTTTATACAGGGAATTAGACTTCAGATTCAAATGCTGTGTTAAAACATTCAGTTAATTACACTAACAGAATTAATTGTATAACATCCGAACATCAAATGAGTTGAAAGTCTACTGACTTGGAAATCAAGAACCACAACAAAGCTGTTTTATCTAAGAGTTGGACCCTCATCAGCATCCATTCACGACTCCATAAGCCATTGAATTTAGGTCTCATAGTGAGCTCTCAGCCTTTCAACGGTTGAGGTTTATAACTTCAGCCAATCGGTGATAGTGCACGACCATTTTCCAGTGCAACTGGAGATATTTATCTCACGTGAAACAGTTGGATTCCATTAATCATTAGTTTAATCTAACAGGATATAATTTTATAAGTCTATTTGAGACTAGTCATTTTAAAGTCTGCCATTTTAACTCAGTGTGATGACATTTTTATTTTAATATTCTTTGTCATTTATACAAACAGTAATTCCAAAATACTCGTATACGTTTTCAAGTCTATGAAGATTTTTCTTCTTAGTTAAATAATAGATTTCTAGTATGGTATTTCATCTTTGAAAATAAAATAATGGTTTGTCAGTATCCTGACATGAGTTTTTAGTATGTGGTGTCCCTATAAAATTAAGTAATAAAATAAGTCTTTAGTTATTTTGTTTTCCTCAATAAATTCCTTATCTATTTTGGGCGTATAAGGGTAGGAAGATGTTTGGGCAACATATGAAAATATCATAGATACTTAAGAAGATTTTGAGATAGTTGAAGTATTGTGAGCTTGCTGGTAAGAGAGGAAAAGAAGTGGGCAGAAGTAATAGAAACAATGGGCCCAAATACCTGAATTAAATATTTTTACACTGTTGTCGTTCTACTATCGGTATGTTTATTATAGTCTATCCCTTTAGTGTTACCACAAATCCAGCCAGTCAGTAAATATAAGGGGAGTGATGTAGGTTCAAGGTTATTATTTCAAATCTAAGAAGTTCTGTGGCTTTTTATGCTCATTGGTTGTTTTTGTTTGGGTTATCTGGTCCTAAGAACTGTCTCAAAACAATATGGATATTTGAAACAGTCTTGATGAGTGTTACAACTTATAAACATAAGAGGGAGGTATTTAAATTTTCTTTGAAAAGTAGCTTTTATTCTTTCTTTTTTCAGTCCTAACAAAATTAGCCTGTACTAAAGAAATACATTTGCACTGCCTGTCTTAGAATTAGTTGTATATAAAGCGTTAATAATATACTTATGTAACTACGTGAAAAATATTTTTTTCCAATATTGTTTTTAAAAAATGGAGAATATCATCATCTTAAATTTTCAGATTTTCAATTCATGAAACTCTACATTACTTTACAGTTGACTGAGATGTAAGCAGTTAAACTTGACATTTTTATTCCTACCTATGCATGTCATCAACACATAAGTTAGCCACAAAATCAAATTAAACCGACTGATTGTTTTCTAAACTTATCTCTTTAATTTCGACTGCATTAAATGTGTTTTACAATGTAACAGTTTTGTTAAAAATCGAAATATTCCTGCATACGAGATAATTTTAAAAAAAGTAGATACAATGGTTGAAGAAACATTACTTCTAATCAGAATTAGTTGTCATTTGAATGATTACGTTTGATGTACATCTGCACAAATGTATCCCGAATGTACTGTGTTGCAGATTAGAAGAGGTAATTGACCTACATTGCCTTTAGCTCACTGGAGTTACCAGATTCTTCCAAAGGTGACGAATTGCCTACCTGCTAAGCTCCAGAGAAGCAGTTAAAATGGTATGTACATGGTGAGTTTGTCACTTATAACAATTTATCTATCTATTTATCTCTTTATCTGTATGTGCATAATTTTAGGAAAGGATAGTTTCTTTTCAACGAGCATAGTATTGATTAATATGTCTTGTTGCAGCCGTTTATTTAAAAGCTTATTCATGAACAAGAAACAACAACTGCATTTATTGCAATGCACTATCCGAAAAATGCTTATTGTAACAAATATTCAGAGCTTAATAATCTTCCTTTTAAATGGATTGTACCGTTCTGTATACAAATTGCGTGTAGGTATCCTTTAAATGATTATACGTTTAGCTAGCTTCATCATTTATAATACAATCTGAAAACAAGGTGATAAAAATTCTTAATTAGAAATAATATTAAATACTGCACTCCATATATTATTTGAGAAGTATATTAAAGAGAATATTAATTGATTCAAGTGCTTATATTTACTGTTCGTCTTAGGAGTTGTTCTATTATTTTAACATATTGTAATTGCCATTATGAAGAGTACAGGATACTTCCTTAATTTGCATAGAATAAGTCGCTTAAACATCTCATCATTATTTAAATGAAATATTTTCTTAATGATATAAACATTTACTCTTTCGACTGTTTAAAATATCAAGAATGAGTGTGACATCTTACTAACAGTATTTGACAAAGTACTTTCTAATACTGTTAGGTAAAGATGCCAGCTCAATTCTTTGTGCTTCCGATAAATTCCTTACATTTTGCTAGTAGGTTTTTACTTGTGCAGAGTTGTATTATGTTTTATCGAGCAGTAAGTGCTCCATGTTATTAAAAAATTAATCTTCATCTGACCAAAAATTATCTGAAATTCAAAAATACATTTAATATACTACTGAGAATAATAAGCAGTCAGTCGTTCTACTACTCTTCTTGATAGTGTTAAGTAATATTACGTATTTAAGACCCATCTCTTGAAACGACATTAAATAAAATGTAAGCATAGAAAGGATAAATGTAATTTAAGAGAAGTGAACCTTCTCAGCCAAACATTGAGTTAAAAAACGAATTTCTTGGGATAAAACACTGATTTGAATCAGTGAGAACATTCTAGTTCTCGATATGTCTTTAATCACGTGAATATCTAGAAACTTTTTTTTAAAAAGTAGTAACAACTGATGTACTGTCTTTTTCCTTAGCATGGTAAAAATAATTTTTTCTTATGGTCCTATCTTTATCAAATCAATTAATTAAGTCATTCTGAAAATGACAGAATAAATGCTAATTTACTTGTATGATCAGGTTAAAAGATAAGAATAAGCATCATTCACAAAATGAGTTTAGGTCACAAAGGTTATTCATGAATTTTATTGACTCAGGGAACCAGTAATAATATGAAGTACAAAATTCATAAATAATACATCATCAAAGGTAATGTCAATCTAAAGTATAGGGCGGTTGAGGGAATACATATCTTATTAGCACATACTTGTCAATAAAAAGCCAT